CGCTCCCGGGCAGCGGCTATTTCCAGGGAAAAGGGAAATCAGAGCAAGACCTGCAAGCCAAAATAAAATACAGCAGCCAGCAACTTCTCACTGCCAGCAGGATTTCCCGCTGGGAAGCGCACGTTTGCTCCACGTGCCCATCCCGTGGAGCTCACACCACGTGCCAGGGTCCCTGCGGGGCTGGGGACACGTCCCCGGAGCCATCGCTCCTCAGTGACACGTACAGCAAAAAGAGAAGCTGGCAGATTTAGGGCAAAACCCAGAAAGCTCATAAAGTGGGTAACGGTGCCCCCAAATTTTATTCATCCTCCCAGCACCCGCTGGCAGCCCCGGCTGCGGGGAGCCACGGGGGAGGTTCAGCCGTTTGGGGTCCAAGGGCACATCGCGCGCGGCCGTGCAGCCCCCCCGCGGCTCCTCTCGAATTAATATTTATTTACCTGCCTGGTAATAAACAGATTTGGGTTGGGGTACCCCACAGAGGCCGGTGCCGGGCCCAAAAGGGGGTCCCTGCTGAAGGAGGGGGGTCCCAGGCAGGAGCTGTCTGTGCCACTGCCATGCCCATATGGGGACCGGTCCCGACTCCCCTCCTGCACAAAGTCATCGGGACGGCATCGCCCCAGCGCCCAGCTCTGCCTGCAGGTCGGAGGTGGCCTGGGGTTGGCTGTCACCCCGTGCCCTGCCTCAGTTTCCCTCCAGGACTATCCCAGGACCTGCTTACACCCACGGCCGCTACCAGCACAGAGGACACCGGCTCCTAAAGGGCTGCCGAGCCCACCCGCGATGGCACGTGGCGCTGGGGGAAGCTCCCGTGAGCATCCCTGCAGCGCCCAGGGAAATCCCCAGCGGCGGCACGAGCTGCCCCAGCCCCAACCCTCCCTGCTCCCAGCTATTTGCAGCCCCGCAGTTGTCAGAGGTTATTAATAACCGGGACTAATCCAGAGACGGGGAGGCAGCAGGAACGCTGGGAAGCCTCCGAGCCACCCAGCATCCGCAGCTTAAAGTCGGGGGGGAGGGACACCCCATCACGGCACGCTTACCCAGGCGGGGAAATAGGCTTCGGGCTCAAAGTACTTCCCGTAGTGCTTGTTCCGCTTGAAGTCGCCCAGGTCGGCTTGGAGGGCGAAGGCGGTGAGGAGGAAGTAAGCCTCCTCGCGCAGCACGCACTGCGAGTGCAGCACTTGCTTCCGCAGGTGCCAGTAGTAGTAGTAGCGTGCCGTCCTGTCGCTGCGGGGAGCAGAGGAGAGAAGGGAGGAGAGGGGAGGCAGCGGGACACCCACCCGTGGCAGAGACCAGGAGGTGGGAGACAACTCCAGCACCTTCCTTTGGGTGGGAAGTGACTTGTTTGCTCCCTTTTCCCCCATTCCTTCCAGCCGGGGCTCCCATTAGGCGGGGCGAAACTGCCTCCCGCAGCCAGAAGAACCCCTCCGAGAGCATCCCCGCATGGCTGCAGGTGCCACCACATCCCAAACCCCTGAAAATCATTTTTTTCCCCCTGAAACGGGACCTGAAGCGCCCGCCTGGCCACGGGCGTGAATTAAAATCAGGCTGTGCCCTGCGTTAAGCTGTGCCAAAACTCTAAACACCACGTCCCCAGCATCCCCCCCAAAGGCTTTGTCATCGCTGGCTGGCAGCAGTGTCC